AAAAAGGGAAGAGATGACAATTTACTCAACTACACTTGATGATCTGTGGAAAACGGATGGTGGTGACTACCATTCACTACATGTGCCAATCAATTGGAACTGTGTTGAAAGGTTAAGAATGATATGTTTTAAGCCAGGATAAAAACTGTCCACATCTCACTCTCATGATCTTGATTTAGAGCTAAGCTATGCCAAACTTTATGACTCCCTTAACAATTACAAAATTTTACCCTTTATTGAAAATGTAACCATTTTTTTGTACCTTGTTACACCTACAGTTGTTTCTAGAATGGGTCATTTTGCAACTCATTCACAAAGAATTTGAGCCAGTATCTATGATACAAATTATAACAATTACCCAAAAAGAAAACCAAAATATTGAAGACCACAGTGGGGAGAATTTGTACTTCAATTTACAGATTTAAGGAGTTAAAAGGACTCAAAGGGTTAACCCTCTAATCCCTAAAAAAAAAAGAAATGATTTTCTCCTCACAGTATCACCCCTGTATCACTCATTAAGGTTACAAGAATAAAGTAAATGATCAGCAACTACAGAACCTCTTGATTGTTAAACAAATTCCCCTTGTCAGCTGCTTAGGAAATGTATAGAAAACAGTATGGAGAATAAAAACACTGATGTTAGGGTGTAAAGGATTAAAAATGCTGCAATCAACAAACACGAAAACTTACTCTGAGTTTTCTATACTTGGCTCTTTCTCATCCAACTTTTCTGTTTCCTCTTCAATCTCTTCTTCCTCTTCAGCCACTTCCCATTTACTGAGGTACTTGTCATTGGCATAATGACTGATCAATTCCCGCCTGTCGTCATCATCACAGTCACTCTCCTGATCCCCAACAGACAGACCATCACCAATCTGTACATGCATCTCAGTCAGCTGGCTCATTGTAGTGTATAGTCCCATCCATGCTTATTTGGGCGAAAGCAAATCATTTGATATCTATGGAAAATGGAAATTAGAATTCACTCTTTTGGATATTGCTGGAGTTATATGTTAAATAGTGGTTGTAGTCAAGAATAGTATGTGGTTGGAATTACCACTATGCTAGTTAATCATTCAATTGTTTCTTGCATGGACAAATAGTCTTTTATTCTGACAAGGCAGTGTAAAGTTCTGTTGGATGATAGCCTTCAGTCAAATTGACTGAGCAGGTGAGATATTTTAGAGAGATGAGGGAACTTAATCTACCACAGTGACCTCTTTTAAGTTATAATTTGAGATTTTCTTTCTACAAGAGCAATCACTTCAAGAAACCAAACAATTTCCAAGATGTTCCATTATTTTTAGAACGTTAGAAATGTTTTGTGTTGTCCTAAAAATTTGGCACAATTGCATCTCCAATGCATCTTGTTTTTAATCATTCACATAGACTTTTCTTCTCCTGTGCTAATTTAACTTTTAATTATTCATGTTTTACATATGTCAAAAAATGCGTCAATTATTGGGCTGCAATGGTTCAGGGTTTTTCTCCTATGGAAAAGAAATTCAGCAAGAGGCAAGTAATTGTTGCTGATCTGTGTTTTCCACTAATTAGCAAACATTATAATCAATTTAGAGGCACAAAGAATAGCAATTAAGCTGTCAGGTCATGCAAACCATGCTAATGTAATATTTGATGCACATGTGAAAAGGAAAATTTTTGTGCAGGCACTCCAACACAGGGTTTGAAATTTGGCCAAAAGTCAACTAGCCACAACAAAGTTTATAATAGTGAGGTTGGAAGTAATGAATGCTTTAAACAAAAAAGTGGCATACCATGAAGTTAAATAAAAGTTGTATGGCACATGCCTAAATTTAGTTAAGATTTCCATCTCACCCCATACTATTTTCAAAATATAGACAGACATAATAACAGACTGTTTACACAAACCTATGGCAACCATATTGTCGACAAGTACTGCTTTACCATGTACATTTAATACATATAATTTGTCTTGTCTTAAAGGTATAAATTTGTGAGAAAATCTTTACCCAAAGATTTAAAACCAGCATCACTTAAACACTGTATCAATATACTACAGAGGTATCGAGAGGTTTGACACAGGCAAGCTTTGAGAGGTGAGATAATGGCTCTTGATTGAGTAAATGAGACCTGAACGGCAATTAATATTGATAAACTAAAAAAACAAAAAAAAAAACATTTCGAGGTGTGTCGCATAACTTTCTATGATACAGTTGTATGCACGTGGAATAAGCTAGTATAAGTAAAAAAGTTTCGGTTGGTGAAAATTAATTTCGGGAATCACGAGAAAGATGAACGTCAACTAATGTAAACAAATTTCTCGTTTGCCAACATACACTTTCACAACAATAACATTCAATAACGCATTAACAGAGAATAATATAAAAACGACAAACTGAACAAGCTTCTATGCATCACAGCTGAACCATTTAAGGTTTCCAAGCAGAGTACATGAAACACCATCAAATATTTTCGAAAACCAACCGAGGTTGATTTGATAAGAGATAACTTCAAATCGAAGGTGTGGATATTGAAATCAAAACGATCAGGCATCAATAATTAAACAGAAAACTACTTACCAGGTTTAAACTGTTCTGCGTTTCTCCAAAGAATCGACCGAAACTCCGTCAAATTGGCTTGCAGAGGCAATCAACGCGTATTCGATACGAATGTTTTGAGTACGAAAGAGCCGCGCGTTCGATTCGGTGTCAACTAATTTCCCCGTTTACTTCGCAACGAAATTATGCATGAAAAGAACAAAGCTGCGAATCATCAATATTCATGTTCCAATTAGACAGTTCCTTCTAAACTCTTTTACAGATAATTTCATAAAAGGTGCATTCAATATCACATTCAATTAAAGTGATTCGAAGACAAAAGCTCTTCGGAAAGAAATTAACACGTCGGTAGGGCGCTATGTTCGCATACTTCTCAGGTCTCCAAAAGCGTAAATCTTGATAGGTAAAAGTAATTAAATTTGAACCTTGGCTTATGTTACTACGGTAAATTGAACAAAGAAATACGTATATGATATTACGCAGTAACTAACCACTTACAGTTCTCAAAAGCATCAAGAAATGGCGTCGTTCAAATGCGTTGTTTGACTGAGGCATACATTTTAGGAGGGGTGGGTTAGGAAGTTGGTGAGAGATGAGGGGCTGTTTTGTGATGGGGAAATGAGGCAATCACCGCTGATTCGGAGTTAAAAGTAGTAATTTCGTTTTGATTTTTCCTGAAGAAAAGCAAAACTTGACATGTGCTCTAATCTTTACACAGAAATTAACATCGAAGGAAGTGAAACGAACACTGCAGCCGTTTGCAAACGTAAGAATCTACCGTATCTATTCGCCTACAAGCCGAGCTACTTAGCACAAAATTATCATAATAAGAAATAATACCACCTCGGATTAAATTAACCATCTACACCCTAACAACAGCATGCATATCCTTTACACTGTTCTCTATACATCTACCAAGGTGCTGACAAGGAAAGATTTGTTGAACAATCCAAGCTTCATTAGTTGGTGATCATCTTCTTGATTGTCTTGACCTAAATGTGTGATTCAGGGGTGATAAGATAAATTGCATTCCGATCACTCTTAGGAGTCAAAGGGTTAATTGTGTTGTGAAAAACACAGCAGGAAGGCGTAAGAAAAATTGCTGCTTTTGTTAAAAGGGGAGGAATGAAGCATAATAAACAAGTAAACCAAATCATTGGAAAATTCATTGAACTGGAAAACTGGGAGAAAAATTTTATTCTGGAATTCAGATACACACAAATTTATTTACATTGCTCAGTAAATCAGCCAAGCCTTCCCACACACCAAACAAAGGATGTAGCATACAAATTCATCCTAACTTTTAAAGAAAGAAAAATTATTAAATTTAAACCATGTAGATTCTTCTTTACAACAAACGTGTAAGATAGTTAATTTCTAGTCATATCCATCAAAGAATCTTTCCATGAACTCTGTTTTTCTAGGTTCTTGTGTTTCCTTGAAATAACGCATGACATGTGTTGCCTGCTTCCACAACTTGTGAGTTTCTTCAAGTTCCATTTTACCCTGTAAAAAAATAAAGGTAAGTGTGGTAATTTCTACAGATGTTCTCCTATTAAATTATCACTCAGATTCTTACAGACATGTAGAGAAACTTACATTAAATAAAAATACCAAAAACACACTAGAAATTTAGTTTGTAATGGCTCAAATTTTTCATTAAAATTTTCTACTTATTAAACAGAGAAAAAGAAATTATATATTCAAAATCTCCTACTAACAGTAGACTGAATTTCAAAGTTAAGATTATAAAGGATACATATCACCTTCTAAGATTAACAACAATGTGTGATAGCCCTAAAATAACTTCACATAATGACTCCTCAAGATCAAATTTCTCATGTATTGCGAATTGGTGGTTGGAAAAATAGGTGATTCAAATCACAAAATTTATCCATTGTTATTTTTGAAAAAAATCATGAAAGTCAGGTTTATCAAATTAGTATGGGGGCATGGTATCCAATGTTGTGACAATTTTCACATCAGATGGCAACTATTATAAAACAAATCCATACAAAGGCAAAACCTTCCCTAAACTTACTTTGATTACCAGCATGTCAATCACTCTGATATCCCGAACATGGGCATTCTTCATGAATTCTTCTCGCACCTTGGCACGGCCAGTCTTAGTAGAGATTTCTAACTGATAGGCCTCAATGGAGTGGGGAACCTGTCAATGTTAAGAATAAAGATAACCAAAGCTAAGGTAAGTTAGATTATGCCGGCATAATTTTGGGCATAATGATATGGCTAAAGCATCAAGCAAAATGTGGCCACAATGACTAAACTTCCAGTCTTAGTAGAAATTTCTAACTGATAGCCTCAATGGAGTGGGGAACCTGTCAATGTTAAAAATAAAAACAAACAAAAGCTAAGGTAAGTACGATTATGCCAGCATAATTTTGGGCATAATGATATGGCTAAAGCATCAAGCAAAATGTTGCCACAATGAATGAACTTCCTAAAAATTCCCTTGATGCTACAGTTACACAAGAGATAAATTCTGTTGCCAGATTAATGCAAACAGTGAGCTTGCTTTTCTTCTTTGCACTTTAAAATTTGACCCAGTAAAAAATTGTGTTCTGAAGAGAGGCAACCCTTTTCTTCTTGGCAAGATCTACCTGTTGGTGGTAGGAATAAGAAGGGGGGGGGGGCGGTTTAGGGGCTCTTAAAAGCTATTATTTTGAAGTATCAATTTCAGAATAATGAAAAATTTGAGCAGTTAAAATCAAAGTTCCTTTGTAAAGTGATACAGAAAACTCGAGCGCGAAGCCGGTAGTGTAATTATACATGTAGATGTGAAAATTGAAACATGAAAACTACAAACACATAACAATTTTAGCTTTCAGTCAACCTACATTTCAAAAGATACATTTACAAGATATGTGGAATACACAGAAGAAATTTTAAACAGAAGGCTAGATCACCAGTTTTGTGGAAAAACAGATATGAGTTTGGCAAATTCAATCATACATTACCCACTATAGAATATACCTTGAAATTGCGGAAACTTTAAAATACCTAAATTTGAGCTGAAAATTTACAAAATTTTTGTTAACTTCCCTCCAAAACTTAACGAAATACAGCATGACTTATCTCCGTATTGAGATAAGGGAATACCGAGTACCTGACTGTATTGGATCCCAGGGAACCTTTGGCTGAGCCTCGCTTATGAAGGAAAAACACACATCAGAATTTCACTCTAATTTGAATTTCGTAGAGTGAATTCACATTTCATAACTACACGAGGGAAAACTGTATAGATTTCTCCATAACTACTGTAGTCCATCCATTTGGAAAACATTCTAGAGCATGTTGACCTCGTATTACAGTATATTGAAAACTCATATGTACGCCGAAATGATCACCGATCTAGCGCATAACATTCAAAGCTTTTATGCTATAAATCAAACCGTAAGACCATATTAAATGGTATGTTAGTACCTCTCTCCACCAGGCTCTGTACAGATTTAATACCCTTCGTCTAGCTTCAGCATGGCTCGTCGAAAGAAGCGGTTTAAACACAGTTTTTCCCGCAGACTGGGCAACTTGTTTGGCGGCCATCTTGAAAGCATGTAGCGCTGATTTATGGGAAATATTCTACAATTCCGTACCAGTGCGTTCTCGTTCATGTTCCCTTCGGGACTTTGAAAGGACCTGAAGTCAACTCACTTCGACTTTCATGCTTATTTGAGTACGTGAAAATGTTTTGGACAACTGATATCGATAAGACTGGGTCAATATAAAATTTTTAGAATTTGTGATCGTCAATCATGACTCCACTTCCATCCCCGGTTGAGGTAAGTGAGGTAGGGAAAGGTGAACCAGTCTTATCACACTCTCGTCCCCAGAGCCACTCCTTTTTTATCAAGTGACTCTGGGAGTGAGAGAGGTCTTTAACAGATACATAGACATTGCCTTCGTTTGTTGAAACCATGCAAATCTAGGCAATTTTTATCATTAATGTTTTTTACCACAAAAACGTAAATTTGAAAAGCTTAACATTGAAAACTCAAAGACAGAGCAGAATGAAAATGTAAAACTATTCAGCTACTACCGATTTATCAAAGATCTAAACAAATTATATATAAAAAAAATCCGTTTAATTTTGAATTGCACGTCTTGTTAAATGACATGAATCTACATGAAATAGATGAGATAAAAACGCAATTGACGAAGCAATACCATTTGTATGGTGATTTTGGTTGGGTCAAATTTGCCACTCGAAAGCAGACACCCTGAAAAAATATCTATATTGTTCTTTAAAAAGCCGTCCTCAACCCTTGATGGTTCGATCACACAACTGATTATGTATCTTTTATCTCCAAGATAAACAGCTGTTTTCAGGCGATCTCCTTTACGCTCTCTGGTTGGTGGAATAACTTTCGGTTTGTCAGAGTCATGGAATTACTGTTATTATTACTCTCCAATTTAAGCTCGGGATGAACTTGAATGCTATTAGTACAACTGGATCTCAAAAAAGGAAATATGCGCCTCAGGTAATGGCAAATCCCTGAACGATATTCTTGCAAAATAGTACCGTACACAACTGGATTGGTAGAACTGTGAATATACAGCATAAACTCACTGAAAATCAGGGCGTCACCGAAGTGCTCAAAATCTCCGCCTTTGCCGAAGTCTAACCAGAGCCACAACACTTGTTTGGGCAACATAAAAATGGCAAAAAGGGTCACGATTGTGCGCAGGTTCTTGTTGATTTTAGCGTTGTTTGCTTGTCTACGAAGCACTACAGCCGAGCGCTTGCTGGAGTCTGAAATTTTTAGTCTGGTGCGGCGCTTCAAGAAAATACCGATTCTTGCGTAAGCGATTGTTATAATAAAAAGGGGGAGGGCATATTGTAACGAAACAACTGCAACTGTATACGCTTGTCGCATAGCGAAACTAGGCCATGTTTCTGTGCAACTGCGTCCTCTCTGGTGGGCAACTACCGTCAGAGGCGAGACACACCCAAGTCCTGCGATCCAAGTAAAAAGTAGGACCCATAGAACTTTGGTGACTGTGAGCCTTGGAGCCAGCGGTTTCACGATGGTGTGCCAGCGTTCTATCGCCATGCATGTTAGCGTGAACACGCTTGCGAATAAGCACATTGTCATTAGTGGCCAAACTCCTTTGCAGAGCAAGTCACCGAATGGAAATTCACGGAACTTTAAATAGAAATCCACGGAGGTGCTAATCGTGACCATCCAAAAGTCACCAATCGCCAGATTGAGAATGAAATAGTCGTTGATTTTTCGATGTCTTTTCTTGTTCCATATTACGAGCATTACAAGAATGTTGCCGATTGATCCAAACAGAAGAATTACGGGGTAAATAACGAGCTGAACGTAATCAATAGAACTAAATGACGCTCCAGTTTTCGCTTCCTCCGTGTTGTTGGCCATGTTTTTTTGTTCAGCGCGGAGTTTGTCTTCTACTTCACAGGTTGTGTTATTTAAGCTACAAACAAAACAAAGTAGATGTTTCGGTTAAGCCATCACGAACGGATTTCTTAAATCCTAGGGCTTCCAGACAGGTTTAATGAGGATTGGGACGGACCGGTTAGGGGCCTTCGGGCCAAAGACCACTCCAAGAGATTATGACTCCCAATAGAATAATGGATTTTTCGGTTGAGGGCCTACAATGCTTATTCAGAAAATGATAAATGCTTTCAGTTTATGAAGAAGGGACACCTTGAATGACAAAATGATAGTGATGATAATAATATTAATGATGATGATGATGATGATGACGATAATGATAATAATGATAATAATAATGATGATGATGATGGTAATGACGACGACTAATGATAATTATAATTATAATACAGTAATAATGATGATTACGACGACTAATAATAATGATAATGATGATAATAACGTACATGATGAGAGCGACTAATAATAATTATAAGAATGATAATGATAATCAGGACAGGAATATGTATTTTGTGCAAAGCAGAATTTACTCAAGAGCGTGGCTATGCAGGACTTCCGCAATGCGAAAAAAAAATGGTGCGTAAAATTTACGTCTTTGAAGCGCAAAAAGATGTGTCCAAGTTTAAGAGCATTTTTAAATACTATATTCTTGAAATAAAAAAATTGGAAAACATTAATTACTGACAACAAGGCTGTTATAACAGCAGCTACATAAACTATGATGCGGTTTTCAGCCGCCTATTGATTCAGATGCCTTTCTTTTCTTCGTTTTCTGACCGACCAGCCTGTACCCTGAATAGATTCAAACACCTTTCGGGAAACCTTTTTCCTAAGCAGCCTTTCTTGAAAAAGCGCTCAGTAGAATTAAAAGAAGGGGTCAACTGGGGCCAATTTCTAGAATAAACCTTGCAATGGAAGGCTCACTTTTGTATTTTGGTTCTTAAATGTTCAATATAGCCTCGTTACCATTATATCTGTGTGAGATCTTGTTCATTGGTTAAATTTGTAATGACAAAATTCATATGAACATGTATGCGATCTGTAAGAGTGACTAACACCTAATTTCTCCTCACAATATCACCCCTGAATCATGCAGTAAGGTCATGAGAATAAAGAAAATTATCAGCAGCCAAAGAAGTTGTTGACTGTTACACAAATGCTCCTTCTCAGCACCTCGGGGGATGTACGGAGATCAGTATGGAGAATAACTTTGCTGATGATTGGTGTAAAGGCCGAGTTAACAGTCGCCAAAACACCTAGATTATTACTGAAAACATCTGTTTTAACAGAACGTTGAAAATTGCATTCAATAATCATATTGCACGTCCGACTAAATAGGATGGCGTTCTCGAAATAGTCTGGCTATTCTTTGACGTCGTCGATTCAGTAACGACAATAAAACAGCTAAGTTATAATGCATTCAAATTCTTCTTAAATAAAATAAGAGTTTATACGCGGGCGTTGTTAACAATTGGTAATATTTTGACGTAGATTAACATTTATATTGACTCAAGGTCTTCAATTTCGCGGAATTAAAAGTTATCTAAGTCTCGTCTCCGTGGAAAATTAAATGTCGTAATTTGATTTTGTTAACAACAAAGGCAATTCCTCACCTGGAAAATTATGTTATGATAGCAAAGGCAATACAATTCTAAACTTAGAGATATTGACGTCCTCAAAGAAAAAATTAGATCAAAGCTTATGTATCTATGAATTCGTTTTGTACCTAATTGGATAATATATCATCATTATTCAAATTTCCGTCTCATACCGTCTTAGTCCGACAAGACAGCGGCGGAAATAATTTATTTTATCTTTCGAGAAATCCAGATTAACTGACGTAATAGTCTTAGTTTTAGGTGAATTTTGCAGTAGTATTGCAACCTGTATGTGTTATACGCTGATTATATTATTATTATTATTATTATTTCATGATCCTGTCCTTCAATTTCTTTTTCTCTCTGGCTTGTTTTCTTTCAAAGAACAAAAAGCGTTTCTAATTTTAAACGCCACTTTGAAATCGTATTATTCCAGTCGGCCGGATGTTGCTGAAATAGGCGTTAACTTGTGATGATCCAACCGATTCCTCTCCTTAAATTGTTAATATATGACTCTTGTCTTCGGTGGGTAACTGAGTTTTTTCCACACAACAAAGGATCGTTGTGAAATTACGCTCCGCTTACTGTGCTATTTTTTTAAGTGAATGAGGTGTATAGAGGAGATACATTTGATTATGTGACGATTTAGATCAAAGAGCTGTCTATTTGTGCTAAAGTAATTCTTAATATTCTGCTTCTTCAGAATAATAACAGCGTAACCGCTTTGGAGAATTAGTAATATTTTTTTCTGGCCAAGTCGACGTCTTGAAAACCGCCGCATTGTTCATGTAAAGTAAAGCTTTTCCTACCTTTGAATAAAGTTCGATTTACCCTCAGCGATAAATGATGTCTGTCTCCGCTAGTGCTGATCTTTTTGAAGATTTTTAAAAAATGGAATCGTATATCTTTAGAGATCGACGGCGCACAAAAAGAGACACATATCAGTTTTCGTCCAAAGCAACTCTAGTTTGCGATAAATAAACGGTCCTTGCAAACGAGAGAAGCCTATATTTGACTACCGAGCAGATGTTGTAACAAAATACTCAAGGCTTAGAACTACGCTCAATTTAGTTTGACTTGCGTGGTAAAATTGTCATGTCGATGACAATGAGCGGAACTAAATGTTTCTTTAGCTACAAGGTGATTTCTTACATCAACACATGACTTATTTAATCTTTCCTCGGTTGCCAATTACTTGGCTTTCATACGTGTCACAATAGGAACTTGACGGCGAAATTTTCATTAACGGAAGGCTTGCACTTCAGACCAAAATAAACGACAGAATGTCAAAATGTGTCTGCCATCTATCAATATATCGTGGGGTAACAGAGAAATACTACTGATAACCTACGTACATCATATTCAATTTACATTAATACATAGTATTGCTTTTCTAATACAATTATCGTTAACTTAACAAAATGAGTGCGAAGATTACAATTGTCGAACTAAGCCTCATTTCCACGACGGGATCTCATTCTGATTGTGACAGGTTCCGCACACGTTGTAAAATAAATGCATACGCTCGGCTCGCTTTAGCAATGTTTCCATATAAGATAACAGAGACAAAATGGCGGCCGTTTCACTACCGAGAATTAAGTATCACTTTGCCGGGCTGTGGCTAGTTAGGGATTTCGCGCGCATTACTATTTTTGAGTGTCTTCATCTATCGCACATATCTTTTTCCAGCAAAATATCTCTAGTTGAACAAAATACCCACGACACGTTAAAACCGAAACGCCTTATACCCCAGCTTTCAGTAAAAATAAAATTCAAAGTTTGAGAGAGAGATGTTACGAACTTGGCAAACTTATGAGACCTTCGAGGATTATATCCTCACGCGTTTATCATCTGCGAGTCAAACGTAACTTATTTCATTCAATCATTTTCAAATTCCTTTAATTATGGAATTGAAGAAGACGATAAATATGCTACTTTCCCAACATGTTGCTTCATAGTTCAGTTTATAGCGCTCAACCAGTAAATCTGAGAGGTACGGATCCGAATCTCCTCTAAGCCTTGCTGTGATGCATATCAGCTAACAAGGGTTGGACTTGTAAAGTTAAGTTATCTGTGAGCAGTCCAGATGATAAATATATCAAGCACTTTTATTTATCCAATCAAGAAAACTTTCCCAGACGCAAAAGTCAAAACAAAGTATATGTACAAATGTTATTTCCTGATTCTGATTATGGATCCTGTATTTCGTGTCCCTTTTATTAAATATATCTTACATTTTAAAACTACTTTAACAGCTTCTTTGAATTTGAAACTCAAACGCAAGGTAATGTCGGCGTGTTTGACTTCCTTAGTGGTTAAATATATAATAAAGCTCTATTCACTACATTGACTTACCCGCATTGGGTTCTCTTCGGACATTTTGAAAGTTTGGCAGTTTCAAAATATATTTATGCTGCCTTTAAGTTATTTCTTCTTAATATTCTCCTGTGACTCTTATTTCGTGTTTTCATAAAAATCGCGATCCTCAACCTGCGCGGAAACTCATTACCGCGTGGGTTATCCTTCGCTAAATATAATGTCCTTGGGTGAAACCAATTTACGAGCTGAAATGTGTAGTCATCTAAACGTTGTTTGCGGTAAAAAGTGATCAGGCTAACGCTATTGCTATTAAAATGCCAGGAAAATGATATTGTAGACATTAAGGCTGATCTGTGATCTTGAACCACTAAACCCACAGTTGAAATGCCATATGAACCTTGTTGAGTTAAAAACGATTATTAATATTTTTTTAGGCAGATTTTTATTTTGAATATTTTTTTCTGTAAAACAAGAAGCTGTAGTCACAAATAAAACTTTAAGTACTCACTTCTGCTAAATATGGTTCCTTTCCTCGCGAGTTTTCTAAAAATAACGCAATAATGACTTACCTAAAAGAGAGCCCGAGGGTCACAGTTCCCGCAAATTGAGAAACAGAAAAAATAGTATAGGTTATTGCAAAGTCTGCCATCCAGAAACATTTTTACTTCACAAGACCTGTTATCTTTTCTAAAAAATTAACAAGTCCTGTAAGGAAAAGATGCTAATGCTGATTTTTAAAAACTTAGGAATGACCGCCAAATCTCCCTTTTAGACGTCTTCAAATTTCGACAATGGATGAGTTCACCTAATCACATGCTTTTCATATTTGGAGCCAATTTCGTTGCACATATTAGCACAGCTCTACGCCATCAAACCTCATATCAACATTTGAAGAGATCAACACCTCTACACGAAAATCGAAAGGTAAACCTCTGAAAAATAAATTGCAAGAATTGATCTTAAAGAACTTTTCAATTGACTGTCGAAAGTAATCCGAGATTGTTTTGGCTTCTCTTTACTTCACTCTGTGATTATTCCAAAATTCTAACGCCACTTTCTCAACCATTCAGATATAAAACTAAAACCAGCCACAACTTTGTCGCCCGAGTTTTCCAGAGCTCTGGGCAATTCGTTCGCTTTTTTATTTGAGTTCTCCTTAGTTCTTGAAGGTATTTTCTCTCTTCTGGATGATTGTTGAGATTACATTGGGTTTTAATTTACGACACTCGATCGAAAAGCGCGCTAATTTATTATATTGATACTCTTGCCATCGTCTGACGAAACTTCTCTGGTGATGACAATTTCCGGATTATTTTCTCGGGGTTGAAGTAAATTCGTACAACTACAACAAATACTGCTCCGTCTGGAAGCTGAGGTTTGAAGTTTGGCAAGTAAACACTCTCTGGAAGGACAAGCGGAGTTTGAAAAGTCGACTGATTTTCCCATTCTGCTCAATCTTTCCGATGCCACTGATTCCATAACGTGTCGCATTTCTGGAAATTCTTCCACGACCTCCCTGAAATCTTCGGCGTGTAAAATAAATATGTCGCACATAGTCTTTGCCACGATAGTCGCAGTGCGTCTTGCATGTGTCAGAAGGCAGATTTCTGAGAAAAAAGATCATTGGCAAAAATGATATAAAAAATAGAAAGAGATTCGTCAAAGTTTTGATCTAGGTTATCCCATTTGATCTCGGGAGAGGGGAAAAATATACAATGGTGTCTGCATAATGAAAGGTAAGATAAGCTAATAATGAATGGGCATTCGTTGTGATAATTGTAAATTAGCGTCGAAGGATGGTTAAGGATATCCGCTAAATAAATCCCTATCTGGAGGATAGTGCTGTACGTTTTGTAATCACCTGTTCGTAAGAGAGCGATTTATCCGTTGTGTGGTGTTACCGCCCTTTCAAAAAACTAAGCACTGGTAGATTTTAAATCCCTTCGCTGTCCAAGGAAGGGCAAGAGTCTTTCAAAGCAGTTCATTGTAGATATGATCAAGCTAGAAGACTGAATCATCCCATTTAGCTTTATTGTATAGATGGCCTAACGTACATTTACATCGTCGTCTTTTTTCACACGAGTTCTGGGATTTGCAGATTTTACTATTACACTTGAGCTCGAGATAATCGAGAGCGTAAATGCTAGTTGCTTTAAACTCACCTCCAAAATATGCGCCATCAGAGAGATCATCTGTACTAACTCCCTCACACGAGACACTCACTACCCCAGATTTAAGAAAATACATCTCAGTTCCAAGTTCCCCTTCACGTATAATAACGTCACCTTCCAGATACACTTCAAAGTCGAGTTTGGTTATAATGGCTGACACAAAATCTGGATCAGCATCATAGAAAAATGGAACAGCACGGACGAGCTCGCGACAGTTGTAATTGACAATTGCCTGACGATGAGAAAGAAATGGTATTATTATTAAAGAAAATAGCAGACCCTCCTTTTCAACGAAGTCCATTGTGCAAGTCCCAAAAAAAATTTGCTAGCACCGCGTGGAACTCTGGGAGTGAGGCGCAGAAAGAGTTCCGCGCCGCGCGCTAGACTCCTTTTTTTCTTCGTTTGGACGGAGTTTGCCGAAAAGGAGGGACTGCTCGTATTCTTAAAAAATAGTTACGTTTTTGATCCTGTACCTTGAATCTCACTCGTCATTCGCAAGTCGTGTAAATCGTTTCCATCCTCAGCCGTACTAGTTCTTACACTGATAAATGTTACTATATCTTTTCGAATAAGTATAGAACTGCTTGGTTTTGCAATTTATTCGTGAATCACTTTTCATTCCTACCTTACGCAATGGCCGAGAAACTTCAGACAGTATTTTCTCTTCGTCAAAAAGTTTTCCTTGAAATCGGTGCTCGTAATACTTGGTAATTTTATCTCTTAGATGAACAGGCAGTCTTCTGTGAGCCATATACTCCTCAATTTGTTGGATCTAAAAATAAGAAATAATACAATGCAATTTGAATAACCAACCGTTTTTCGTGTCAATAACTTCAGTCATTCATTTCATCAGTGGGCAATAAGTCATTTAGTATCGTTGTATTTCATTCAGTTCACTCCGATTCGATTAAAAACTATTTTTATTCTTATTTCAGTCTAGTCTAATTGTCCTTCGATCGGTCGATCAGACATTAATCAGTCAACCAATCAATCAATGAAGCAGTTAGCCATTCAGTCAGGCAGTCAGTCAGTAAGTCAGCCAGTAAGTCAGTCAGTCAGTCAGTAGTCAGTCAGTAGTCAGTCAGTCTGTCAGTAAGTCAGTCAGTCAGTTAGTCAGTCAGTCAGTCAGTCAGTCAGTTAGCCAATCATTCAGTCAGTAGGTCAGTCAGTCATTCAATCAACCCGGCAACTACTCTATTAAATGCTCGTCAATAACTAAGTCAGTTTTAAGTATTCAATATCTGGATTAGTCAGTTCTTCCTACCTTTTCCTTGTAATGTCGACTTGGGGAATCCATGGTCTGGATAACGTTTATGGAATAAGCAATAAAAAGCGCGTAAAATGTGGCACCAGACATCATGCTGGTAATTGTAACACAAGTCTCTGGAATGTTTTGAGGAGGATGTCTTCCATATCCGATGCATAACATGTGTGATAAAGCCTTGAAAAGAGCCCATAAATACTGCTCCGTCCATGCCTTGTCCTAAACGAAAAAGAAGAAAACGTTAAAGTCGTATGTTTTGGGTACAGGGAAAGGAAGGCGTCATCG